ATGACAGGGGATTTCACAGGTGCTCCATCTCTTTTTGTTACTTAGCAGTCAAATTGTAGCACAGTCAGTCCCTTTGGAAAGTGCAGCTGCAGTATCCAACGAAACTAAGCTTGAGAAAGGCTTTATTGCTTTAAAGCCTCAACCGCATTCTCTCCTAGTGTAGCAAAATAGCTGAGCTAACAGAAGCTGGTTTCTTGCGACTGAAGTAACTTTCTAAGTTTTGATTACACTGGCTCAGTTTGGAGATAAGGCCGGCTACTCCTGCCGCAAGCAGAGCAAGAAGGAATACATGCATCCGCAGAGACCCCGGTGCCCTTCAACTGATAAGCACTGCTACTTCTACCCACACAGATAACAAAGATAAAAGAAATATAGTAGGCGGCAAGGAAAAGGAACAAAACTTTAAATAAACAAAGAAACCTGAGTAGCTGAATTATACCTAAAGGAAATGAGATCACCATTTGCTTCCAACCACAAACAACTGACAAGTAATGAAGAGTCATTAAAGTACAAGAATTTTTATGAATCACATTCCACTTTAAAATCAGCTAATCTGGAAATTCCTGGGTCTCATACAAGCTCTAATTTACGAAAATAAGATTAAAGGAAGAACTCATTCTTGTTTTGGATTTTGTCTTTTTGAAAAACTATTATTATTTCTTTGCATTATACTGATAGTATAACATCTGAAATCTATTGGTTTATTCAATCAAATCTGTTATTACTTCAAGAGTTAGTGCTAAAATGGCTATAAAAATGAAGTTGGCCAATAAAATATTTTGTTGGAAGCTGAAGCAAGAATATTGAAAACAACTTTATACGAGAAAACATTCCTTAAGCTCATAGAACATTTTACTATTCTTTGAAATTTTCTGCCATAATCCAAACATTTACTGTAACCCAGTACTGTTTAACTCTGAAGCACCATTCTGATACACAGAGCAGGTGTCAAGAAAGCTGTATTCTTTATATCCCCATACACATAGCAGGAGGCAGGTTACCTACTTTCAGAAAAACCACGACCATATTACAGACATGACAAATCACGTCAGAAGGATCTAGGTGTTGCACTGGCTTATGCATACTTAAACACGAATACTGAATGTGAGGTTTAACTCTGATCTTTTTTGTGAGGTGCCAGAGGTTCAGGTACACATAACTGCTCGTGTGAACATTTAGACCTCTCCATTCCTGCTGTACCATGAGCAGAGAGGACACGCAAAGGATTTTTTCACAGGAAGCTGTGTTGTCAGGACAGAAAATCATGAGACACAGGACTGACTGTTACTTATATATGATACAAACCAGAACACACTGAAGATGACAGAAGGTCACAGAGTCCTGATTCTCAAAGTACCTTGAATGGGGAACTGCTTCCCCTGCACCGAGTCGCATTACCTTTAGCAGGAGCTCTGAGAACATTCTGCTCCCAGTGCCGAGTGCTCAGGATTAGGGCAGATATCCAAGTACTGGCTCTAATTCTAAAACACATGAAAATTCCAATGAGGACAAAGAGAGTCTGTGTCTGAGAACATCAGTGTGGAGCATCAGGGTACCACAATGAGTGGTATGATTATTTCAACTCTGTGAATTCTGTTCTTGTGTAGTTTACTGATGAACTACCAGAAAGTGCATGGTGGATGGTATTTTGCCCTAGTTTTAATATTTTATCACCAGCTGTGAAAAAGAATACTGGAACTAATAATACCTCTAGCCCAGCAACAGCCACAAAACAGTGCAAACCTCATAATCTCTTTCAGCTCACCACCATAAGATAAGAAAATCTGTATTTCATTAGAAGGGTCAGTGTCCTCATCTAGTTGGAATGAAATGTTATCTTTTCAATATTTGCTAGGTCAGGCTGGCAGACTAATCTGAAACATTCAAGTTATTTCAACTACAAATTAAAAGAATCAGCAAGATTTTTATCAGTAACTGAATTGCAGGAAAGCAAGAATTGTCTGACTGTGCTCCTAATCATACTAGCTCTTCAGGGTTGGATCCACTGCATTTGAACTCTATTTGAAAGAGGTATTATATGATCCCAAGGGGTTTACACTTGAATCAAATGAGCAGCTCATAATCAGTGTTTATATATATTTTCTTCACTAAGTGCTGTAATCCATGTACAGACAAAATATATATATATTATTAGTAGCTCTAAGCATGAAAGTGAGAGAACAAATTCAAATTTTGTGAACAGTCTTTTTTTGATCAGATGTTATATTCCTATACAGGAGGGTAAATTGCCCTCTGCAAGTTCAATCCTGCCACACCTTGTAGCGCCTTTGTTTTCTCCTGATTCCTTCTCCTACCATCTTGCCCAGACCTCTCCTAAATTCACATAATAGATTGAGATGTTGAAACCCTAGACATGACAAAGGAGATAGAATTTAACAGTAGAAAGTAGAAGTTGCTGGCAAAGTAAGTAAAAGACTTTCAACAGGGCTCTTCTAACCTCTTGAGACGTGCAATAATGAAAAAATCCTGCCCCTGAAGCTATCAAAAAGTCTCTGCATAGCAGAACTAGTCCTTTTTCACCTCTCCTACTCATTGGGTAGGTGCATTTCCCATCTGTGCAGGCATGTCCAGCTATAAGATCTTGATAGGAGGTCTTGCCAGAACTGCCAAACTACAGATTTTCCAAGGTCTCTGCCAGAGGGCAAGACATTTACAAGCCCAAGAGTTTATTTCATTGCAGCCTCACCTCAGATGTTATTGTAGCAGCCATCAGCCAGTTAGCTCTACAAAGTCAAGCACTGCAAGTTATCTCAGCCATTTCTGCTTCCCTAACATTCATTTAACTCTTACGGAGATCATGTGGTCTTATTTGCTCTGAGGTTGCCTCCTGTACCAAAGCAAACTCACCTACAGCTTGCTTGGATCTCACTCTGCTGAACAGTATTTTTAGTTCACAGTGGCTTAGTTATCATTTATTCACCTCCCTAGGTGCAAATATTCAAGGCAAAGGAATCAACACCAAAGAGGTAATACAAACCTGGCAGACCGTTTGTGATCAGTACCTTAGCCATGTGATTGAAACAAAGTGACACTACAGACCAGGCCACTCGCCATTAAGGATAAAGTAACACAGAATTTCAGTAAAACCTAGGTGCCAAATAGTAGAAAAAGGGAATTCTGGCTCTTGTCAAATCTTGTGAAAACACAAACCTTTTTGGCTCTTCAGCCTCTAAAGCAAGAATGAACAAAGAGGAACAGGTGACATCTACACTGCTTGGTCAGGAGTTCAGGGAGAGGGTCATTACTCACTTCTACAATACTCCTCAGGGAACGAGAGTGAAAGAGGAAATCCTGATGCTCTAGCACTGACTCTTTTTCCAGAAAGTTTGAGGAAACTGCCAAGGCTTGGCACCTCTTCTCTGGAAGGGGCGGAGGAGGAAGGAGAGGAGCTGTCCAGACCCAGAGGAGCCCCTTCTCTTCCTGGAAGCTTCTTCCTTCCCCTCTCCCTCTGCTGAATCAAACTATGACCATTCTTTACTTACTTTTTAAAAATAGTGTATTAAAATCCATTCAAAGAGTAAAAGTTTCAGACTGCTTTTAAAATCTGGATTGTTTTTCACTGAATTTAATCCCTAGAATAAGTTTACATCACAGACAGTTCTGTAGATTGAAGAAAGAGCAATAGGAATACTACCTTAATGTTACCTCCCCTATTTCTTAGGGGATACATTTGCTCTTAATATTCAGTCATCACAAAAAGATAGGAAAAATTACTCTCCCGAAATGCATGAAGATTTCTTCCTTACCTATGCCCATTTCTGGACTTCCATCTTGATCCATTTTTCTTGACTCAATTTCTGTTACCCAAAGAATGTGAATTCAACACACTTTCTGTGGAAAAGTCTGTTTCAACATAAGCCTGAGGAGCTGAAACACAACAAAAAGGAATAGCCCAGATAAGCATATAGTTCCTCAGTAAGGGCACCTCTACAACAATGACTCAACACAAAGAGAAGATGCAGAAGGAAGAAGAAAACTCAGCCATTTTCTTACCAATGAAGTTAGATGTCAAGCACAGAAGGGTGGTCTCCTTAAGCTCTGGATGGCCCAGTTATGAAAAACATTCTTCTCAAAGGAAATTCATGTCATCCCCTGCTCTGAAGCAGCACCTGAAGAAACTGCCTTTTGTCAGCTACCCAGCCGCGGGAGACCTGCCTCAGCTTAGTCACCCCAGTACCTGAGGCTGAACACTACAACTATGCCTGCAAATCCACGCGTGGGTTTTGTTATTCACTGCACTGCTGCAGTGTCACAGCCCAGTGTGAGAAATCACATTTGACTGGGAGTAGAGGAGACTCTCTGTTTTCCAGGGCCTGCAGTACGAGACAGGATGTCGCCATCCCCATTCATGAAATGGCCGCACTTCAAATACCTCATTGGAAAGCAGAAACTATCACGGCAAAGGCACGGCACCTCTGGGGGAAGCGCAGCACCTCAGGCTATTGGCGCTGCAGCTCAGTGCTCACCGAGCAAGGGAGATGGGCCGGAGGAGCCCCTCAGGCCCAGAGCTTCAGCACAGGTGTGTTCTGCCCTCACCCACACCTGAGTGGAGTTAATCCTCTTAACCACGAAGGCATTTGGGCTTCATTCTTCACGGTCGGCGCCACAAATCTGAAATTTAAATTCGCCACGCTTGTTTGCGCCTCTAAGCACGCTTCAACACAAGCCATTCTTTTCATAGCTGCCTCTCACGTTTCTCTTTTGCTTTAACACGCTTAATCGCACATCGCCGGCCGCCCCACGGAGGCGAGGAGGAGCCCCGCGCCCCCTTCAGGCTGCTCGCGCTCCTCCGCCCCGAAACCGGCAGCTGCCCCCAGTTCCCCGAGTGACACCGCCGGCCCCGCCACACACAGGGGCAACGGCGAGGCGCCCGCAGCCCCGGGGGGCGGCCCGGCCGGAGGCGGCGTCGGGGCGCTGCCCGGGGGCGGCGCTGCGGAACGCCTCGGGGCGGGCGGGCAGCGGCTGAGGAACCGCCCCGGCCGGGCCTTTATAGCGCCCGTCCCGCACCGCCGCTGCAGCTGCACCGTGCCTGGCTCAGCCGCTCCTGTCGGTAAGTGCTGCGTCCGCGGACGGCGTTGCGGCAGGCTTTAGCGATCGCTCTTGAAATCAAAGCGTGAAAGTACAGATTGCGTGCCGCGTCGGTAACGGGAGAGCTCTGCTCTGCGCGCTGCCGTCTGGCAGCGGGGTTGGAACAGAAATCGGCAGTGCTGCTGCTGGATGCTGTGGGGTGGGCCTGAGAATGTAATCACGGTAACGGATAGCAAATTACTTGCATGCTTACCAGAGGAGTTAAAAATCGCTGCTTTAACTGAATAATGCTCGAGAGAACGTACATCTGCTGCAGCCCCATCTGCACCTGAGAAGCATGTCTGAGCAGCAGGGCACGCTCTGCTTCCCTGCATTATGAAGCCTGCCTCTGAGCAAGGGCTGCCTCTGCATCAGTAGTTTGCTTTGGGCCACGTCTGCGTTTTCTCGAAATAAACCCACCGATCCTCTCGCGTACCTGGGTCTGCACCACATTATGGTCTTAGAGCCTGGTCACCAAGTCTCTTTGTCGTTAAACCTATGAGATGCATTCCCATTGTCTGTGGGCATTCGGTTTGTAAGACCGATCTAAAACTGGTCTGATGTCAAAACCTCCAAAAGCACAGAGCAGCACTTCAGCACCTGCTCTGCATTGCTCACTAGCGTCACACAAACCCAGGTCCTAGGGCTTCTTTTACATTTTCTCATATTTTTTTCTTAGAACTGAAGATGCTTTTCTCTTTCAAACATAATAATAATAATGAACCAGTATTTATTCCCATGACTGCAAATTTTATATTTGTTGGTTTTTCAAGCAAATTAGTATTTGGTAGCTCTTTCCCCTTACCCTTTTTGCAGACCGATTTATAACACTCTTGGGCTGGTAGCTTTGTATGCTTGGCTGCAGCAGGCAGCTGCACGCACGAAACCAGGACAGAAGAGGTTTAAGCCTCTCTAATACCATACATGCAGCAACCGCAGGACCAGACTTTCAGGACTTTGCGGCGCTCAGCGAGGTGCCTGGGCTTACGCAAGCTCGCAGCAGCAGCAAGAGCCAGCCGGCAGCTTGGGAGGCACTGAAAGCTGAGTGTTCCTTCCCACGCTTCAATGTGCATGTTCAGACCGTTTAGAAGTCTTGCTGCAAGGCAGTAATAATCAGTTAAACAAGCACAAAGAGCTGGACTGTAGCTAAATAGATCTGCTGCTTTCTGACTGCTAGTCTACATGGCAGAGCAGTCCACAACCCAGAGTATGGATTTCTCCAGACTCCCTGTCTCTGCTTCACGTGAACTCTGCAAAATCTGGCTGTTTCTAAATGCACAAAAAAAGCTTCAAATGATAAAATCATAAGCGCTAAGCTAATTTACGGAAATAATATGCAGACATTCCACAGTTAAGTCAGTTCTTAATTCTTCTGCCCACTGTATTGTTACTCAAACCAGGTAAGATAACAGCAGCAAGAAAGCTGATGCTGCAAGATACAACATGTCACTGAATTCCTCTTTTATTTTCAGAATCAAAAGAAAACTAAGTCGAGGAACAAAGTGAGAACTTAACTATCAACATGAAGTTACTCATCTTCCTCACAATAACTCTCGGCACGCTTGTCACAGGACTAGATTCTGTAAGTTTTGAAATAAGTGAGGGGGTTTTTACTTGGATCCACTTCCGTTTTTTTAAAATTATACTTCTGCTTTGGACAGGGTGCTGAGTTTCTGACTCGAACTGTTCTTTCTACTGCCTTTGCATTTACATCTGCTGCACATATACCTCCAGAAAATGCATATTTGAACACTTTGCTTTTTCTCCGACTCTGTTCCACGTTGAGATGTCTTCTAGAGTTAAAATAGCGAGGGCATTGTGCAGTAACCAAGAAATCTAGCATTTATCTTTTTATAAAACAACTCAGACCTGGACACAAAGTACCAAGAACTCAGTGGTGTTTTATGTAGGAGAATATTGGGCCTCCAATAAATTTGTCTTGACCTACTTGAATACAAAGCTGAAAAAGGAGACAGACCTGATTTTGAATATTTTGACTATCATGCACAAACATGAAGCACCAAGGTCACCAGTGACAGGAGCTGGAGCATGTTCCATCTTTGCTGCACTGCTCAGTACCTGAGAGGTGGGGAGGGAAAAGTTGTCTTCTTTTCACCTCTGGGAACTTCCCAGATCCTCACAGCAGAAATGACTGCTATGTTGACCGGGTGCAGTGGGACGAGGTTGGTAGAGTTCTTCAGAGGGTTTTCTGGTGTGATGTGTTCATCTTTGTTCAGAGTTCCACTTCAATCATATGTAGATCATATGTGATCATATGTAGACTCAATAGAGCAAGTTCAGCTAGTAACTACACACAAAAACTTTAAACTGTTAGAGAAGGCATGCAGTAGAAAACAGCACAGTCCTGTAACAGGTAATAGAAACATGTCAAACGAACTGTCTCCCTCAATAATTTCTTTCATTTTTGTCTGTTTAGGTTTACATCAGGCAGTACTACAAATTATCACATAAACACAGATCCCAACATAGAGGTAAGTACCTGTTTGTTCTACTTGAACCTAAAAAGAGCTTGTTAGCCTGCAATTACATCTTTATCAAAGAGAGAAGGCTTTCGACTATATGCAGCTAAAACTTAGTTTGCAACTGCATTTCACTCAAGTGTTTTACCTCTTATTACTGATATCTTTCATTTGCAGAATGCCACTGTCTGAATGGTGGAACCTGCATTACCTATCAGTTCTTCAGCCAAATAAAGCGCTGCCTGTGCCCAGAAGGATATGGTGGGCTTCACTGTGAAATAGGTAGAGTATCCATCTTCCTTAATACTAACTAAATGAATTGGAAAAGTAAGCAAATCATGAATAAGGATTCTCAAGTGAAAGTGCTACCTATAAACTTTACTTAATATCCTCCAGCAGTTTTTAAAATAATAATTAAGGTGAGGAGAAACAGACAAATATTGGAATCACTAATTTTCTTGTCCCTGTCTCCTCCTGAAAGTGTTCTTTCATTCCTCATGAATGTTGTAGCTTGTAAAATGAACTTGTTTAGGAGCATCCAGAAGCAAAATAAATTATATTGTGAAGTACAACTGAAATTGCTAAAAAAAAAAAAAAAAGCAACATGGAATAAAGCATAAGTTATTTCATGCATAAAATTCAGAGAACAAATTCAGTAAGAATATATAATCAATCCAGATTTTGTATCATCTTTTCTCTTGTGTAATGCATGCTTTATCACTAAAATGATCCATACAGATTACTTCTGTCTCAGAACAATTATAAACAGAACATGCTGCTTACGAGTATTTGTTTTCTCAGACACTGACAGCATGTGCTACAGCGGGAATGGGGAGAGCTACAGAGGAATGGCAGCAGATCCAGGTTGTCTGTATTGGGACCTTCCTTCAGTAATCAGGAGGGGTGATTACCATGTTGATTTGAAGAATGCTCTGCAGCTTGGACTGGGCAAACATAACTACTGCAGGTAAGATGATGCATCATTCTTCCTGTGATGACATTCCCAGACGAGCTTTGAGTGATGATGTGTTTAAAGGAGTAGCAGAATATTTCAGGGATCAGTTTGAATTTAAAACATTTGGAATGGGACTCTCTGAAGTGCCTAGAGTTCTTACTGCTTACTGAAGCTGCTGGGAATTTTGCAAAGCCATCATATCACATCAATAACTCTAAGGGGAAGTTTCATCTATGACAAAACAAGCCGCCAGTTCCGTGTTCAAATAATTAATTATTTTCTCCAGCATTTCTTACAAGAAAACACCTTTTGGCTTTTCCAGGACAGTTAGAATTCTAAGATACTTTAAAAAACAAAACAAAACAAAAAAAACCTGGGTTTATAAGAAGAACACTTCCTTTATCTTCCAGAAACCCAAATGGAAGGAGCAGGCCTTGGTGCTACACCAAGAGAGGATACTCCATTCAAGAAACACCCTGCAGCACCATAGAGAAGTGTGGTAAGTAACACTGGTTTCAAGCCAATGGATTTCTAGCACAAAGTTGATGCTTGCCAGTCATGTGAACATCTGAACAAAACTTTCTTTCATAGGGAGTACATGTGGCCAAAGAAGCTTCAGCAAGTACTTCAAGATTGTTGGTGGAAGCCAGGCTGAGGTTGAGACTCAACCTTGGATTGCTGGCATCTTCCAGAACATGATGGGCACTGACCAATTTCTGTGCGGTGGCAGCCTCATCGACCCTTGCTGGGTGCTTACAGCAGCACATTGTTTCTATGATCTGTAAGTGTAAAGTTCTGAATTACTGCATCCTTCCTATCTGCATCTTCCTTCAACAGATTTCCTTATATTCCCTTCATTGCTGAATGAGCAAACCTTCAAATCTGCCATAGTTATGAGACTCTCTCTTAAGCAGAACAAGAGGAGCAGCCATGAACCTTAGGCCTTTGGAAGTCCATGTCTAGCAAAATACAAACACCTGGATGGATTATGCAGCAGTAACAATTCTAGCTTAAATTGGTGCCAGGATTTCACTTCAACTTATCTATTTCTAAAACCTAAAAATTGTCAGTACATATTTTTTTCCTGTAGAAAGCTGATCCTCCTTGCATTCTGCAAGGGAGTCTCATTGCTGATGCCAGACATGAGTAACAGCTAGCCAGGTGTGCCTCTCACAGTGCCCCAACATCTAGCTTGTTCACTACAAGTGGTGAATCAGCAGACCTTCCTGTAGCATAGTCTATCAACATTCTTGTTGCTTTTTCTTGTCTGCTTTTAAGTAAACAAAAAACCAAACAGGGACTCGATTTTAAGTTGTTAACCTTACTCTCAAAAATAGTAGCCTTCATAAATGCCTGTACTTTAACAGGACAAAAAAGCAACCAAACAAGTCAGCCTACAAAGTCTTCCTTGGAAAGTCCGTATTGAATGCTACCGATGAACATGAACAGGTGTTCATGGTGGATGAAATAATCTCTCATCCTGACTTTACAGACTACACAGGAGGCAACGACAATGATATTGGTAAGCACCATCTTAATATGAGCCTTTAAAACAATGAGGATAGCTGAAAACTGTGTAGTTATGAGGTATGTCAAGTAAAAGAAGAAGAACTAGAGCAGAGAACTAGGTCTGTGGTGAGCATGTTTGTCTGTCTGGCTTGTGGCACATCACAGATGAAAAACTCCATGCAAAGCCTACCAAAATACCATAGACTGAGACACAGTGCATGCATAGTAAGTTACATTATGTAGCAAGGGAATGCTGAATCAGCTAGCACATGAGCTAAAGGTTTTTCTGAAATAGGTCATACTTCCCAAAGTCTCTCCCCCTTTTACAAACCTCTCCCTAAACTAATGAATTCAGTTAGGTTTCTGTAAGTTACACAGAACAGACTTGCAGCACTTGAACTTGACACTGAACCCTTGCCTATGATCTTCTGAATTGTCACTCAATGCTGCAAAATTCATTGTCACCAAATAATGATTCTCATAATTCCAAAAGCAATGAGAAGAACCAAATATAACAAGAACAAAATGTAAATATTCCCATTAACTGTACTGGATACTCCAATTTTCAGAGAACTTGAAGGGAACTTGCTTTACAAATTTAAGTTAATCTCTTTTTTGTTGTTGTTAGCTTTGATAAGAATAAGAACAGCTTCTGGACAGTGTGCAGTAGAATCCAACTATGTCAGAACAGTCTGCTTGCCAGAGAAGAACCTTGAGCTATACGACAATACCCGGTGTGAAATAGCTGGCTATGGAAAACAGAATTTTTGTAAGTGAATGACTTCTTTCCGAACTGTTACTTAAACTGTGGAAACTGGTTGGCTTTTTTTTATATCATGATCTTCAAAAGTCCCAAAGACTCACTGCTACTACTCTATGTGCCTCATATCTAACTCCCGAAAATGACATTCTTTTTTCCTTTCTTTTCCTAGACGATATTTACTATGCTCAAAGACTAATGTCAGCCACTGTAAACTTAATATCACAGGACACTTGCAAAAATAAATACTATGATAGCATCAGAGTTACTGACAACATGGTCTGCGCTGGAGACCCAGCATGGGAAACAGATGCATGCAAGGTAATTTTTTAATGTTGTTCCTCTACATTATTTTAACAAGTATATTGAATGGATCAACTGTAGCATAGCAGCATCTTGTAATTCCGCTACTCAGGAGAGTATTTCAGTAGAGGGAATTCACTGTAGCTACTAGAGTTGACTCTTAGGGTGGCTGAAGACAGGGAAGGGTAAAGAGTTTGGTGTTAACCTCTCCAGGTCTGCCTTTCAAGGAGCAGCAATACTTTAATCACTGCTGCTCCTTGAGATGTTACAATTTGTTCTGGCAGTGGCTGGCAGGTAAACACATCAGAGGAATACAGTAACTATGCCAGCCTCAGCTACACTTGCTTAATCTTAACTACATCTCAGCAGAGGGTTAAAAGATGGTAACAGGAAGTCACTGAGCCCTTACGCAAATTTCTCAAAAATGGATTTGCTTCCCTGCACCTTCACTGGGCAGTCTGGCCAATATGCCATTAAAAAAAAAAAACAACCAGTAGTTACCCTTAAGTATACAAGTATCTTGTGGGCAGGGAAACAATTAATTATGTGATGCAGAATAGGGCATGTTTGCTTTGTCCTTGTACAACTAGCCTAACAGCTGTGATTTTGAGCATTGGGTGTCGTCTCCAAAGTAACTGTCCAACCTGGGCAAGCTAGGGGGACTAGAGAACTCTTGACCTTATGGACTGTGCTGTATGCTGTAATTGCAACAGATGCTGAGTATTCTCTTTTGTTTATGCAGTATTCTCAAAAATCATAGCTTTAGCTTGCATGTATCTACTGTTTGCTTTAATTCAGAAAAACAGTAATTACAGGCTCCCTGGTATCGAAGTTGCATCTACAGAAAACATCCTAATATGTTCTTTTTCCATTGTCAGGGAGATTCTGGTGGCCCCATGGTCTGTGAGCACAATGGCAGGATGACACTTTATGGGATTGTCAGCTGGGGAGACGGCTGTGCAAAGAAAAACAAGCCCGGTGTTTACACCAGAGTTACTCGCTACCTTAACTGGATTGACTCTAATATGAATGCAGTGGTTACCAAAAGTCGCTCTTTCCCTGAACCAAAGTGACCACCTGTGTACTACTGGACTTGAATAACAGTGAGACTGTGGTGATGCCAGGACACCAAAGCCCTGAATATCAGAGTTCTTGCTTTTAACTGATCATGTAGTTTACCACTACAGTGTTTCTGATGCAGAAGTTGATACTATCTCACTACTCTTAGTTACTGAAAACCACTCAATGGGAATCTAAAATATTTAACATTTAAATGAGTATTCCCACGAGCAATACTGTACATATGAAGTTAACTGTCCACTTAATTTACAAACTGGCATTTGTTCTGGAAGTATTGGTGAAACTTTAAGTTACTTAACTTGTGCATTTTGTATATGGCATCTAACATCTTTCCCCATCACTCCAAACAACATGGATTGATAGAAACCTAACCTATGAAGGCCAGTACTGGGAATGTGAACAGACTTTGCCTCAGAATGTGCAAGAAACTGCATCAGCATTGATTATCATCAATGTGTGAAGAAGGACTGAAGTCCACTCTGACTGAAGCAGCACTTGGTATACAGGACTCATTCCTGTAAACCCCCAAAATACTAAAATCTTAGCAATGGCAACTGCAGCTGTGTTAGCATTAAAAACTCTTGAGGTATTCCACCAAAAAACTGTGCTAAAGAGGGAAAACTATTAATGTGACTGCACTTCCAGGTCCCATCCAAAGGAGCCTGGGTTCCCTTAGAAGTCTGATGGTACCACTTTTCTCCATTACCTATGCAACCAAGAGAAGAGCTACGGATTCAACATGCACTGAGTGCTACAGATGTTGAAAGTCAGAACAAGAGTCAGAACTTTATTTCCATTCATCTAACTGATATGATATGGAAATAACTTTTTTTCCCCCCTCAAGACTTCTACTGATTTTATTTTTAAACTTTTTTTTTATAGATGGAATTATTTGCATGAGGGCTGGAACCTCATTTTATTTAATTTTTACTATGTTTAACTTATTATTTGTATTATATATGTAAAACTATCAATAAAACAATTATTCTTACCTATCTGTTCCTCTTTTGTAAAGGGAAGACTAAGTTTTGAAGTTCTAATGTCAATCACTGTACACAGATCTGTACAATATATGCTGCAGGGTTCTGCATAGACTAGATGCTTCCAAGTAACTGCAGCACATCTGGTTTGAATTTCTAAAGCAAACTGTGCTGTTTTGGTTTCACCTTAAAGAAATACAGTTAGCATGCCCTGTGATTTTTCACACTGAGTTCCCAGCCACTTGGTGGAGGGAGGTGGGCAATCAGGAATATGGTTTCAAAAGTGCATTCCCTATCTTTAACAAAGTGTAAGAGCATAGTATGCTCCCTTCACCAACCCAATGCAACAATATCATATCATAGGTGATGAAAGAAAAGTGACAGTTTTAGCTTTCCTCAGTAGTTTGTCACAAATAGGATATTTAGAAAGGAAATACAATTAGTGTTGATATTAAGTACTTTTAAGTAACATTTTCATTAATATAAACTGCATGTGAAGCAAAAGCTTCACTTACACTTCATTTTCCCTCCTCCCCCCCAAGAAAGAAGTTCAGCCAGAAAAGAATTCATAACAGAGTATTAAGAACAACCCAATACTTAAAGCCAACTGCATTGCCAATTCTGGACAAAATATCACAATTATTAACACAAGTAAATCCTTCTTGAAGATATGTTCTGTTGTTTGGGCAAACATCAAAGGCTGAAAAATATGAACAAGGGCTTCCCTTTTGAGGGGAACCTAGTTCAATTCTAGCATCACTTCAACATCTGAAGGAGAATGCTTTGCTGTGGTTTTACTTCTTTGAAAGTAGTTAAGAGAAACGGATACACCGATGGCACTGCTACAAGCAGCATTTATAGCAAACTTACGGGTGTAACACTATTATGGGATGGAAAGCACAGCAATGACAGCAGGGTAGCAAAGTCCTAGGCTACAGTGAGGATATTACAGTGAGGATATGCCTAAATGCAGCAGCTGTAGACACAGAAACAAAGGAAAAAGGTCTGCTTGCCCTTGGAAGGCCTCTGTTAGGCAGGGATCTCCAGCAAGATTCCCTTGCCTCCACTGCCAACCCTACATGAGGTCTGTAAGACATGTGTCTTGACTCCACCCCTTCCAGTCACTCAAGGACACTGCATGCACCTGAGCTCCCCTGGGCTGGCCCTGCCTTCCACCAGGTGCTCAATCACTGCTTCAAGACCTCAGTTAGCATTTCCATTACAACAGGTAAGAGTCTGTATCACAGCATTATATATACATGCATATGACACATGTGATGGTTTTTAAATGTTAAAGCAAAAGGCTTGCATGTAGCAACATAATGTCCTGCCAAGCTTTTAAGAATGTAAAAAAATGATGTCCCATGTTGAAATGGCCATCATAGAACAAATTAGCAGGCTCATCAGCAAGATAATTTCTTAAATTATTAATCCTATCCATCCTAAAACAATGACACAGCAGGCCAGCAAGACTCCGGTAGTTATTTATTTCTGAGATGTGTACTACATCTTGTACCCAAACTAAAATAAGCAACATGAACTTGGCATATTTGAGATGGAATATGGGAATAGGAATCTTAATGAAATCTTGTCCTTTAGAGTCAAGCTTTAGGCATGTGACACCTGGACTACTGCCAGCTCTGCTATTGTTAGGTCACAATGTCTTTATACTTCAGTTTCCTATCTATAAAACATGTGGGCCAGTATTTCCTTTCTCCCACAGATCTGTCCTGGTATGATTTCCCTGGTGGAAGGAGAGTCTTGCAAGTAATTTGCCAGCACCATAGCAAAGACAGCAATCACCACTTAAAACACAAAATGGCAAGCAACAATACTGGGCTGTGAACTCTTCAGTAGTACAATCTGTGGTTGGGATCTGCAAACAATTTTCTTAGTAGAGGTCACCAGTGTTCATGGTAGAGTTGTTTGGTGAACACACACTGTTTGTGGACTGCCAGTTAAAGTTTGTGCAGAGAGTTAAAATTGCATTGGTTGGAGAATTGGTTGGAGATCTCCTGAACAACCCAGAGTTTAGAGACTGTCCACAAAAAGGAGGAAGGTGCTCAATAGCTACTGTCTAGAAAACCAGCTAACAGAGCAGCTAATCAAGTAACAGGAACAGTTTTACTCAAAAATCTACATTTTAGTCATATCCTTTGGGATGGTAATGATTTCTCACTTCAGTACTTCATTTAAGCACTTTAAAGTACTGTCAAAAAACTTGCAACAGAGATACTGTATATAATTATCATCATAACCAAGTGTGTATTTCTCATTGATGTCTGCGAGATTTTGTATTAATAAAGCCAGGTCAATAAAATACAAATTTCAAATTGCTCCCATCATTATGAATAAGAATTGCACTAACGTCTTTTTCATTCTGGAATTTAGGAAGCTCTAGAGAAAGCATGAATACAGGGAGAACCTTAGGAGCAGAGGAAACATAGATGACTTTTTTTTCCTGGGTAGTACACTCCCAGATACAAGCATCAGGTTTTAAGGCTCTGACTGATGGCTGCTGGTGCGCAATCATATTTGTTCTTTAGCATATGTTAAACTTCCCCTGGAAAAATGAAAGACTTCAATATACAACATACAAACTTCTCTGCATTGGCTGCTACCATACTTAATATGCCCTCTGTAGCAGAAATGCTAAGTCACAAGTTGAACCAGTGATTGAGCACCTGGAAGGAAGGCAGGGCCAACCCAGGGAAGCTCAGGTGCATGCAATGCATTTGAGCCGATGGAAGGGGTGAATCCTGGCTCTACCTCCCCCCAGACTTCATTTAAGGGTTGGCAGTGGAGGCGAGTCAATATCATCTAGAGATACCTGCCTACCTGAGAATCTTACAGGCTTTTTGAATGTAAGCAGCTTCTTTCTTTTATTTCTGCACCTACTGCTGTCACATCTCAGAGGATCCTCACTCACTGTGACCTGCAGCCTTGCTGTTCTACTGTCTTGTTGCACTTTCCCTCGTGTTCTGTAATTTCAATATCATACATGTGACTTTGGCCCCACACCTGCAGTATCATTTAGCTGGCTAGTTACCAGAGCCTGGAAAAAAGCAGCACAGAAGATGAGAGCAAAATTGTGCAGAAGCTTCTCTTCCTGCAACAGAGGCCCCAGGAAACACTTTATTTCCCTGTTTATAGGGAGTGAACAGATGATCCAAGTTATGGCACTGGGAGGAGCAATAGGAATAGACTTGAGAGCTGTGCCTGAAGAGTGGCAAGCACCAGTGCAGAATGGCAACAGAAATACTAGAGAGAACCTTGTTGGAAGATACTGGATATCTGTGTACAAACATACATGCAGAACAGAACCTGACATCATAAATCGCTTTTACTTAAGAAGAGAGATACTTTGACTCTAGTTATGTGGCAGGCAGTGGAAAGAATAGGAAATAAGCATTCAGAAACTGCTCAGGGATGAGCACTAGCCAAAGAGAAGAGATCAAACCCAGAAACCTTTCAACCACGAATAGTAAGAACTCAGATCTTTGTTTATCTTCAAAACTTTCTTTCACAAAAGAAATATGTTAAGATATAAAGTCATAGGTAACATGTCCAAGAGATGGGAAGATGGTTAAACATGTCATCTCTTGAAAGGAAGTGATGCATTCTGAATGGACAGATCACTTTGCCTTATATAGCTGAAGCTTTCTTAATGGAAGTAGGAACTAAAACGTGACTCAAACCACTTACAAATAAAGCGTGTTCTAAATAAACTAAGTTTCAATGAAACATGATACAAAGTCACCTATTTGTTGCATATGAAATTGTACGTGTGGGAGGATTTTGGCCATACTGAACACCCTGCACTAATGCAGAGCAGCAGGACTACTTTGTCACCAAGCTTTGGTCACATACTTGACATTTAACCACACTGCTTGCTTTGGAGCAAAAAGAGCTTTCCACAGAAAAGAGGATCAAACATCTCTGCATTCATCAGACTTGTAGTATGTAGTTTTAAGTACCTTCACCTGCAAGGCAAAGAAATGTGATATACTTGAAAGCATGCATAATCATTAATGAGCAAAAATGGATTCAGACTTGACATACCCCCCCCTTCCAAATTCAGTGCAATATTCAATTCAAATTCACATGCAATATTCAAATGAGCAATTTGAACAGAACTGCAGCATTTAACTTTATGGCCAGTGGAACTTAAAGAAGCGAAAAGATAAGCAACTTAAAGGGCAAGTGTGACATACCTTTTGAACAGTAAAATGAAATGTACATCCACAAGCAAGTGTGAATGTACAGGCTGAGTCATACAAGCAGCATGACCAACTCCTGCGCAGCGACACAAGATTTCAGTCAGACTTAGGTTGCCTCTCTCTGGCCTCACTGATGTTTGAAGGTTGGAGGGACACAAGTATGCCACTGTCTAAACAGAATTCAGTGTGAGCTTAGCAAACCAGATTTACTGGAAGCAATCAAGATGAAAGTTGATGAATACAGCAGTGAATAATCAAACAGATGCAGGTGAGAGACGACTGATATTAAAGCAGACCCAGAAGGCACAGCAAACCACAGGGAGGGTTTAAATTGGTGACACTGAGTTAAAAACCATGAACACACTGACACATTCACCTGCACACAGTCTGTAAGCCTAGGGACTGTGATAACACTCAGCTGCATCCTGCTATGGGCATCACTCTTCCTGATGACAACATAGCAAATAAGATCCATGGTCTAGAATGTGATAAGGAGGAAAGATTGAAAACGATTGGTTTTGTTTAAAGAAGCAACACTAGAAAGGAAGATCATCTTCAAGGGGGAAAAGCTTTTGCTCTGTATTTATCTATGAGAATCAGACTCAGAAAGCCTAACTTCAGGAAGGGAAACTAAACTGCAATATTATGAAAACTTTTCTAATGGTAAGAGTAGTGAAGCACTAAAATGAATGGCATTGAGTGGTGTTGAATCTCTTCCACTTGAGTTTTTCAGAACTCAGAT